CTGAACCTTGCTCAAAGATGTAGTTAATGGTGGCAGAGATCTTATTGTAACTCATCAAAATCTGGCGTTATATTAACTCTTTTCATATGTGATGGAGGGCTAGGTATTTCTTCTTCAAAACTCTTCATGGACGAGGCTAGGCATCACTCTTTGGTGATTGAGTGGGTTACAAGGGTGGCGGTTTCTACCGAGGTGGTTTTGGCCCTGGGCGAGGGGGTTGTATGGTAGGTGTGGTCTTCTTCCTTCCTAGATGAGAGAGGAAGGTTAGGTTTCTGGTGGGGGGAGAGTAGTTCTTGCGATGGGAGGAACGGATAAGGATGACAGTGGACCGGGAAAAAACGGGTATTCGTCCAAACTCGTCATGTTTGGACTGAGAATGGACTATACGTATTGGATGGTAGACGTATACGGGAATACTCGTATAAATTTGTGCGGGGATGGACTTACCCTTATCCCCGTCCCGCCCCCGTTACCGGTTATATATATATATATAAACTCTCAATGAAAAAACCCTAAGACTCTAACTTCTCTTCTTCTATCAGCTCAGCGCCGCCCCCCCTCTTAACCTCAGGACATACATGATACTCCTCTTCGAGACTCTCGCCTTTCTCTGCTTCTCTCAGTCGATCGATCCCTAGCACGCGCCTCCTCTTTGAGTCTCAGAGACTCTCGCCTCTTGCTGCAAACCCACGCCTCCTCCTCTTCAAGACTCTTGTCTCTCGCTGGTGTAACAGGCTGAAGGGTTTCTGATTGAGCTAAATCTGTCAACCTATTATGATTTCGTCGAGCAATGTTGTGTCGGTATCTCAAATCATCTTTCGGTCATGAACAAACAAAGGTATATACAACGTTAACTCGCATCAATTGTAATTGACCCTCCCTTGACTTCGGGCACTGGGCCTCCTACGAAGGACAAGAAGCTTCAATTGCTACAAGACATTGCACTAGAGTCTGGTGTAGAGTTGGATTTAAAGGCATTGGAACCGAAGCTATATAATCCACCTGCACCCATTAAGGTAATCCCATTGATCTTTGACTTGTTAAAATTTATATTAAGGAAATAATTATAAACCAAATTGCAGCTATAGGACTATAAATGTTTGTTTTGTCTAATATTAAAAGTTTAGAATTATAAACTAAAGGCCTTAACTACACTTTAACTACCCTTGCACTTGAGATTGACTTAATTGGTCATGTGCTGCCGATTTCAAACTTAATTGGTCACCTGCATATATGTTGTTTATTTATGAAAGATGCCTTCAGGAACTTGACTAAAAATTACTCATGGAAAGTGCTATAAAGACGAAAGGAAAAGTTGAATTTTGTTTTGCCACATTTTTTACATTGTTACCTCTTCTATTCCGACTGTGTTTGATTGGATCTTTGAACTCGATTGGTTAATCTATTTAATTGTGTACTCAATTGAATTGTATTCTTGAACTATTTAATTGCTAGATTGCTTTGGTTTCTCGTTTTTGTTTGATTATTTATATTTGCTTAGTTGATTAATATTTACTCGTTTTTGTTTGATTATTTATATTGCTTAGTTTGATTATTTATATTACTCGTTTTTGTTTGATTATTTATCTATTGTATGGTTTGCTGGTGATTGTTTTATTATAGTTTGGTTTCTGCTTGGTTAATTTTTATATTACTCATTTTTGTTTGATTATTAATCTAGTGTATGGTTTTTTGATTATTTATATTACTCGTTTTTTTTGGATTATGTTGGCTTGAATTTGGTCTTGGTCTTGGGCTTGGGCGGGTATGGGGACGGGGATTATAAATTTACCCCCGAATGGGGATAGGGATGAAAATTATACCCATTAGCAGGGGTGGATCGGGAATGGATGAAGATTTTTTAAGCGGGTACGGGGATGAAGACTATACTCTCTACCCCCGCTTCGGTCCATTGACATCCCTAAGAACGGTTTTGCAATGCAAGAGTTGAGGTTTCCGCTAGAGAAAGATTTTGTGACTTTTGTTGAATTTCATTTATATTTTTAACAAAAGAAGAAAAAGTTGAAGAAGAGTAGAGTATTTTTGTTATTTCTTAAAGATTTCAATGGTATATTTATCCTCTTATATTGAAATATGACTTCGATTCAAAATTTTCAAATTTGACACTAAAATTTGGGTCTGCTGAAATTTTCGTCAACTTGGACAGAATTTGTAATGACAACACTTTAATTCAAATTTTCATGAGTTCATATCTTTTTTGAATAAAAAATGTTGAGTCCCATAGTACCAAATCGCAATGGTTAATTAGAATTTGCCTTTACTATTTTGGACAAATTACACAAATTATCTGGAGGATGATATAAATTGCACTTTACCCACTTTGGTTTTGAAAAGTTACACCCATTCATTGTCAGTGTGTTTCAATTGTTGGAACAATAAATTTGCCTTAGTGCTCTAATTATTGAATGCAAAGTCACCCTATTGTCATGAAGCAAAAAAATTCAAATTTCCTATACCTTTCCTCTTTTCCCCTTCCTCCACCCTCTTTCCCGTACAAAAGAGGAACCCTACAATCACCAACCACTCTAACCCTATAAGGAATTATATAAGAAATGCAATGGAATTTTAAAACAAATAATCCCTTACTTCTAGATCTATTCATATTGCATACACACCAAAAAACCTAAATTTGTAAAAAAAATCAAAGGTTACTCCTTTAAGTGTGTTTTCTAGTAATATTCAAACTTTCACAAGGTGTCTTGAATCTTCAAATTTGAATTTGATCTTTATCCCGAGTCTTGAAATTATTTTGCTCTATCGGTATCCACACAAGTTGATAAACTAATAGGGAGAGAGATAGAGAGAAAGAGAGACGGATATTGTTGTGCTAGTAAGAGTGCATAGTAAACAACCATTCCTAGTTTGGGTATAATTGTAATTATTCGATAATTACACAATGACCCATTCATTAACTATTAATCGTAATAAAGTCTCTATTTAACTCTTAATTAGGTTTTCACTCTAAATAAGTTTTAATTTTTTTTTCTCTTATTTATCCTTTAGTTTTTGATCCATTCTATTGTGTGCGACTCTATAGGTTTAAGCATACTTGGTTGTAGGCATTAGATGGTAGCGTTAGATAACATCTAAAGTTAGAACACAGTAGAATTTAGTTTGAACTTAAATTCTTCTAATAGTCCCATTATGGAGAACACTATTTTTATAATAATTTTGTTCTTCGTTATTCGATGAGTAACAGTTGAAAACATATCATGACTAACTGTCGGATAGCAAGGAGTTGGCAAAGAATCTCGTCTGTATACCGTTTGCCATGCAATTTAATCTTTCTATGAATAATGTCCCAATTAAGTTACTAAGGTATGTAATTACTGTCAAACCTCTAAATCAAGATTTATGTTCGATTTAGGACCAAGGCTCGTAATGATCAATTGGAAACTTTTTTTATAATTGTTGTTATACTTTGGCCAATAATTCCTTGAGTCATATCCTAGAAGAAGATCATAAGAAACCTTCTCATTTTTTACTAAGGATGATAAATTACATATTGTACACTCATAAGTCTCCATACATGTCTAACTATGCGTAACAATACACATCTAAGTTACATGGTTACTATATGGATATATTTTACAACGAAAACATAGATTTTCATTTACAAGACAACCATGGTGTCTCAAGTCTAAAGATCACTTAACTTTAACTTTAAGATTTAACATTGACAGACGTGTAAAGCTCCATATGAAAATCTTATGCAAGTCTATGGCCACATTCAGTGTACTTGTTCTTTAACACGTATTTACGCACCCTACGCTAGTGGTTTGAGACAAGCCATCTTATATAAAATATGAGAAATCTTAGTGTATACTAGTCTATCCGAATTACATATTGCTCAATTTGTAATTCTATGATTAGGAACTTTTAAAAGTTAAGTACTAAGAAGTATATGTCTTCTCTTTTCAACACCTTGAAAAACCATCTTCTTAACATATACTCTAGTTAGGGATTGGTTTCCACGTCGAACCTATAATTCAGGCTACATTATTGTGGACATGCGCTTCGCCAAAAGCCTTGTTTTACCTTCCAACATGTCTTCTAGATGGCATGATGTAGGAAAGATCACAAATTTTGATACCAACTGAAAAGAGTCATGCAGCGGGATGAATCCACCTCACCAAATCGCACAACTTTCATAGGTTGCTAAAAACGACAAAATAAAGTACATATCTAATGTGAAATTCATTTATTTGAAGGCTCCTCTCTCTTATTTACATGTTTAGTATGTGTTTGGAGCTGGTAGGAAACTTATAAGGTCAACTTATTTATCATTTAAACCACGAAGCCATTTGTTGTCCGTTGTAACAAGTCATGCTATTTTCTCTATTGCTTAAGTTGTGTTTCCCCCTTTAAAGGGAATGGGAAGGTGTGGAATTTGTAACTTTTCATCATAACCAGTCTGACCGGCTGGTCTGGTTCGACATTTGTTAGATTGACCCAGGAAAAAAACATTATTTGTTCTTGGTCACATTGTCAAAATACATGTATTTGGCTTTGAGATATTTTGATGTTCATCCCCATCTTAAAGGACATGGTCCACATTCCAGTCATGTTCAAACTGTGGCAAACCTGTCCATGTTATCCTGGTGCTGCAACTTGTTTGGCTGTTCTGCAGCTGGCCAAAACTTTTTGATTGGTTAGATTGGAAGGAGCCAGTAGTTGTTGTCTCAGCTCCATGGCAAAAAATATCTTCTCTATCCGACTGCCACTTGTATTAGTATTGTGGTTTTTCTGTGTTACTTTTGAACTATTCCTTGTAGCTATATGTATACGCATTTGCCTGTATTCTAATTCATTGTCTGTGCATAAAATGAGATCTAGTAGATATTGACTTATGTGGCAATGATGATCTTGGAAAGGTGAATGCGAAAGCTGTTAAACTGGGCCAGATTTGGTTGGGAGATCAATGCAACAAAAAGAGTACCATGAATCTGATCTAGGCCAATCTCTGAAGTCCAAAGGCAATGAGTATAAAACAAGAATCTGAAGAAAATAGAAGCTCAAGTGCTTTAAGTACTGGTCAAAGTGACATCAGTGTCTTGGATCAAGAGCAGTCTCCAATTGATGACACAAGCCTTTGTTCTACATCACCAATATGTGCAGCACCAGTTTGTCGGCAATTTTGGAAAGCAGGGAACTACAGTGATGGGCTTGCTTCTAAGTCCACAATTCAAAGTAACCGTAACCCACTCTCGAATGTTACATCCTTATTTTGGTGACTTGCATGATATATTTTAATGGTTTTGATTCTTTTGAATGAACATATACAAAATGGAGTCTAATAGAAAGTTAATGATAATGGATTACCAAAAAGCTTAAGTTTGGAGTGGGTTGTATACTTGTATTGACCTAAATCAAATGTTGGTTTTTTTTGCTGTGGACTCTTATTTCCTTCAATTCACAAGACCATATCCATGTTTGATTATTTGCATTCTGATATCTTGCTAACAGATGGCACAAGTTATCTACATATTCACCCCAAGTTCCTTCACTCAAATGCCACCTCGCACAAATGGGCCTTTGGTGGTACGTTCAGCTTGTGGTTTACTAGTTTTTCTTATTATATCATATATACTCCAATTGTTTACAGATTGCATTTTGCTATTATTACAATATCTGATACCACCATTATTTGTTGCCTTGAGTTTGCAGCAATAGCAGAGCTGCTTGATAATGCTGTTGATGAGGTAACTTTCTGGTGGAACCTTTAATATTTCTTTTTCTCTTTCCTCTCAACGAAAATTTTATGTAGTTGCTTTGGTGCTCTCTGTGTTGCCGGAATTCTTTGTTGAGATCAACTTCTTGGTGTCCTTGAAGAAAACAACTTCAAATTATGTCTGCTTTTATACTAGTGTACAAAAAACTCCCTCTACCCATATGCCTTGATACAAGGGTACAAATTGAAGAATAATTGAATAAAAACAGAAGGATAAACTATATAGATCAAAGTGCCACCTTCGCTAGAGGTATAGTACTTTTAATTGAAATGAATAGTTCTATGTTGAAAGGCAGTTGATTCTCACCCAATAAGGGTCTTTATAGGACCTCTGAGATAGTTAACATATGACTTGTCTAATGATTGGGGAGTTATGTAATATCCATGTTTTAAATGCCAAATTATGATACAATTTTGTGTTTTGCATTTCATGTTTCATCCATTGGTTAGATACGGAATGGGGCCACCTTTGTCATTGTAGATAAAACCTCAAATCGAAGGAATGGAAGCCCAGCATTGTTAATTCAAGGTATCCAATTTATTGTCCCTTATTGGTCACAAGAGAATTAGTGTTGATATTACCTTGGAATGTTCTAGTTGTATGTTCATCCTTGAAAATAAATTTGTCTAAATTTTGTTGTTCTCAAACATGATGCTTCACGAGTAGATGACGGTGGTGGGATGGACCCAGATGCAATGCGGCGCTGCCTGAGTTTTGGATTTTCAGATAAAAAGTCAAAATCAACGATTGGACAGTGTATGAGTATTAAGCAATCAATCTGCAATTTCTTTTGTTTTGCTTTTCATAATAATCGGTTAACTTGTAGCCTTTCAGATGGAAATGGCTTTAAGACTAGTTCCATGAGACTTGGGGCAGATGTCGTTGTCTTCAGCCGCCACATGAAGAACAGGTTTGAGGGGCACTCAAATTGCTCACTTTCTTATACGAGTGACTTTGAATCTCTTTGCTTTTTCCCCCTCGTGTGTTTGACAACGTTATTTGCCAGAGTCAATCATATGTAATGCTTGCGAAGCCTCATACTGCCTCTGCAAAAATGTGTATTCATGTAATTGACTATTTACAAGTGTTAAAATAAAGTCCCAGATAAGTGTTCTCAACACAAAATCAGAAATACTGGCTTGCGATTGTCCTTTTATAATGGAATGGGAGGTTGTAACGCCAATGCATCTTTATTTGTTGTAGGCATCTTTGTGAAAAAACATTCTAGATATAATATTAGATATGGAACTCAGTATTTCTGATGCACAAGATGCTTCTAAGCATTTTCATATGATTGCATTGCTTGGAAAATGTATTTTTTAAAAGTCAATCAGTTCTCAACCCAAATGAATAGAATTACAGAAAAGCACTTAAATAGAGAGAGCACTCATTGTTCTTCTCTTATACTGTTGAGATCAAGTCTGGAAGACCTGATTGTACAGACAGGTCATATCACCACTTCCATTGTCAAAACTTCCAATTTAGAATGCTAGATCGATTAGTTCACACCAAATAGGAATGGGAATAATTTTACTTAAGGTTTTGGAGAGGTTTCGAAGGACAACGAAGAATATTTCTTTTTTCACAAAGACAGTAAACCGAGTCTCTCAATTATTTAAACTCTGTTGAACTATAAGATTTTGATGTCATTGTGATTTGGTTATACACTTATACATAATAGGTTTCTAGTATGTTTCTTAGCATAAAGAGCGCAAAAAAAAAATGAATGGAATTTTTATTTTCTCCAATTCTTATTTATATGTTTCGTCAGACAATCACTACCAAAAAATTGTTAACTGGCCGAATTGGCTTTTGTTTTATGGACTAAAATGTTGGCTTGGAAAAATGCCATGATGACATCATTTCTTGTACTCGATCAAATTTCTTATCCTTTTTTCTTCTTCCTAGATTGATCAAAGTTGCAAGTCTGCTTATTGTATTGCTGTTTGTGGATAGATAAACTCCATTTCAGTTCATTTTTTATATTTTTAGTTTTTTGTATTGTAATTTTTTCACCCTTCTGTCTCTATATTGGTTTCTTTTATTTTCAGGAAATTGACACAGAGCATTGGTCTTCTATCTTATACTTTTTTGACACAAGCAGGATATGACAGAATAGTGGTTCCCATGGTGAGTTTTCCAAATTTCCTGCCCTTCAGTTGAATTGGTGTAAACAGTATTAAAAGAAGAAAAGGAGAAGAGAGGAAAAGGGAGATGGGGAGAAACACTAGGTAATGTTGTAAGAGTGAAGATAAATTAGGGTTCTTTTCCACATTAGCTTTGGTTAATACTGGCTTAATATCTACGACTACAAGTACTGAAATATTCTCATCAGTATAAAGATAAAAATATCAAAATCCTGACACGGTCTACATGACTTTGCTGATTCGGGTTTGTCTATAGCTGTCTCAGTCTATGAATTTGATTTTTTGATAATCCCATGTGCACTTGTAGCCTGTGTACTGTATGTGTTTGCATTCCTCATGCACGCCATATCTCACATTGTTGTGCTTCTGCCTTGGAGATCCAAAGGTATGCTGAATTCTTCTTTGCTACTCATGGTATAAGTTGGTCTTGATGTCAGTATTTTTCTAATTACTATTCTGTTACGTTTGTCTGTTACCACCTTATTTGGGCTCCGGAAGACTGAACAAAGGTTGAAATTCCAGGCATGGCATTGGGGTTTTCAGTTCCTTTACACACGAACTGCAAATGCATGTGTACATCATAATGGAAGTTAAATTAGATTTGCATAGGACTATACTTTGTCAATCGATTGCAACAATTTTGTCTACACTATTTGGTTTGGACCTGTGAAACTTAGTTTGTGACCCCTTAGACTATGCTATGATATAAGGAGCATCAGGATATCCTGGAGATTTTAAACTTAAAGGTATCTGCTTCTCATGTATATGTAGGTTGATTATGAGGTCAACACATCTACTGGTGCATTGGATAACTTGCATAGTAAAGAACATTATATAGCCAATCTTTCCATGCTGTTGCAATGGTCTCCATACTCAACAGAAGCAGAGCTTCTAAAACAAGTAAGTTTCAGTGCACTTGCTTTTCGATTTGTTATTTTCATTGTGATTTGGTTCTCCTTTTGTCTTCTTCATCTTGTATTGCTCATCCATTTCAGAAATAATCCTGTATTTTTCACAACGTTTACTAGGTTTATTTTGTAAAATTTAAACCGATTTTCACTTCTGGTAGTGGTACCTTTTGACCTTTTATTGTCATATAATACTGAATTTTCAACTGTCCTGATTTTTTTGGTCTATCTGAAGTCAGAACCTGAAGTTGCCCGTGTGTTCACCAGCAACACTCTTCAGAATTTTGCTTTGTTTTTTTTTTCTAATAGAGCAAGGGCTGGACCTGTCCAGAAGAAAACAAGTCCTTGTATGCTGACTTTTGTGTGTTTGAATGCTTATCATTTGTGCTGGTTTTCAGAAGTTGATCTGAGTTGATTTCATGTCTGATCATAGGTTACATTTGAGTGCAGGAATGTACAATTTCATGCAAATTTATTCCTAAAATACTCTTAGTATTTACACATTATGTGTTTGGCAATGTCTTGCTTCTCTTTTGCGTGTATGTGCTTCTATTGCATGTGTTCTGCTTTGGATGTACAAATCATACCGCAAAGGGGAGNTATGTGTTTGCATTCCTCATGCACGCCATATCTCACATTGTTGTGCTTCTGCCTTGGAGATCCAAAGGTATGCTGAATTCTTCTTTGCTACTCATGGTATAAGTTGGTCTTGATGTCAGTATTTTTCTAATTACTATTCTGTTACGTTTGTCTGTTACCACCTTATTTGGGCTCCGGAAGACTGAACAAAGGTTGAAATTCCAGGCATGGCATTGGGGTTTTCAGTTCCTTTACACACGAACTGCAAATGCATGTGTACATCATAATGGAAGTTAAATTAGATTTGCATAGGACTATACTTTGTCAATCGATTGCAACAATTTTGTCTACACTATTTGGTTTGGACCTGTGAAACTTAGTTTGTGACCCCTTAGACTATGCTATGATATAAGGAGCATCAGGATATCCTGGAGATTTTAAACTTAAAGGTATCTGCTTCTCATGTATATGTAGGTTGATTATGAGGTCAACACATCTACTGGTGCATTGGATAACTTGCATAGTAAAGAACATTATATAGCCAATCTTTCCATGCTGTTGCAATGGTCTCCATACTCAACAGAAGCAGAGCTTCTAAAACAAGTAAGTTTCAGTGCACTTGCTTTTCGATTTGTTATTTTCATTGTGATTTGGTTCTCCTTTTGTCTTCTTCATCTTGTATTGCTCATCCATTTCAGAAATAATCCTGTATTTTTCACAACGTTTACTAGGTTTATTTTGTAAAATTTAAACCGATTTTCACTTCTGGTAGTGGTACCTTTTGACCTTTTATTGTCATATAATACTGAATTTTCAACTGTCCTGATTTTTTTGGTCTATCTGAAGTCAGAACCTGAAGTTGCCCGTGTGTTCACCAGCAACACTCTTCAGAATTTTGCTTTGTTTTTTTTTTCTAATAGAGCAAGGGCTGGACCTGTCCAGAAGAAAACAAGTCCTTGTATGCTGACTTTTGTGTGTTTGAATGCTTATCATTTGTGCTGGTTTTCAGAAGTTGATCTGAGTTGATTTCATGTCTGATCATAGGTTACATTTGAGTGCAGGAATGTACAATTTCATGCAAATTTATTCCTAAAATACTCTTAGTATTTACACATTATGTGTTTGGCAATGTCTTGCTTCTCTTTTGCGTGTATGTGCTTCTATTGCATGTGTTCTGCTTTGGATGTACAAATCATACCGCAAAGGGGAGTGCATGTGTGTGTATACTGTGACGGAGCCTGAAATTTCTTAAGGGCGGGGGGGGGGATATGATAATATTTTGGGGGGCCAACTGGATAACTTTCTGAAATTCATAAAAAATTCCAGTAGCCCTGGCTTCTGTCTATAGTGAAGTCCTGGAGATGTAAGTGGTAGACAAACTTACCTTTATGTGAGAGGGGCTAATTGTTGGACTTGAACCTGCAATGTATTGCTTGGGCAGATGAACTCTTGCCATTAATCCAGGTCTGGCTTCTATATCAACAATGGTGAAAAACTATAAGAAATTTGGAGGGCCATGGCTCCCCAATCCACAATGTGGCTTTGCTACTGGGTGTATACTAATGCATGCAAACTCTTGATCAGGCTTAAATGTACTCAACAAAAATGTATCTTAGCTATGCAAAACCTTTGTTCAATGCTTGGGAGCATATCTTCTAACAAATCATAGGTCACCAAGTTTTTCTGATTGGCATCACCTACATCATCTTTGGTCTTCCATATGTTCTTGAAGTGGATCGACTTCACTTAGATCACTTCTGGAAAGTGCAGCCATTAAGTCATTTACTCATTTTTAGAAGGTGAAGCCGTCTTTCAAAGTGATCGTAATTTGTATGTTCTTTTAGCTCTAAAATTCCTTTTTAGATTGGGGTGAAAAAGAGAAAATGATCAAAAATTACAAGGTTGCTCAACTGCTCAAGGGGAAAAAGATCAAGAATAGGATACCTTGCATTTAGCACTGTTGATATTGGCTTTGGAAAGGAATTTGTATTGTACTATTCAGTCATTACTATGGCATTCTAGGAAGCATGGATACGGATCTGTGGTATGAGTACGATACGATATAGATACATTGATAGGACAAAACTTGAAAAAATAGGATACGAAGCTATGATACATCTATAATAAAATTATTTATATTTTACTATTATTTAATGACTTAAAATATATAATTTTTTAATAATTCTTTAAAAATATTGAGCAAAATTAAGAATTTTTACATTGAAAAAGATTTCGTCTCATTATGATATATCCATGAAGTGAACTTGACCAAGTAAAGGAATAAGAATCAATATTTAACTAATTGATTTGTTTACAAGTATTTGTTTCTAAAATTATAATATAACTAACTCATTTTTTTATACCCTTTTATAAGGATCAAATGTTTCGGTCACCTAGTGAACGGAAACGTTTCGACATATTTTTGAAATTTTTCGACTTATTTCAGAAGTATAATAAAAAAAATAATAAATTTAAGAATTATTGTTTCAAAACATTGGTAAAAAAAATCAAAGTATCTTGAATTACGTTGAAATATTCCAAAATAATTGTGCAAATGCATTGAAACATTATAAAACACCTCAAAATGTTGTGAAACACCTCAAAATATTAGAATTTTGATTCCATCATCGATTCGTTTTGGTCTCCTTGAAAACGGAAACGTTTTGGACGTTTCGAAACGAAATTTTGATCCTTGTCCTTTTGACATGTAATAGTAGATAATACTTACAGAACACTCATGTCTTTCAAATCAAATAGAATTTTATTGATATTTTGTACAATATGAATTCGAAAAGAGATGATATAGATTAAAATTAAAAATTGTACATCTTGCTTTATGTGTAAAAGTATCCGCGAAGTATCCAGCTATTTTATTGATTATCGGATATGTATCAGATATATAGTATCATATCTGATCCGGGTATATTGACCTTGACAAAGTATTCGTGCTTCATAGATGTCATACTTAGGCCTCTCTCTTGGAGATCACATTTGGAGCGGTGGAAAGTACTGTCCATCCAATTTGGTTTGGGTTTGAGAATCATTCATTCCAAAATGAGGGTAAGATTGTCTACCAATTACCTCTCCAACCCGGTTATGCAAGGAGTTTTGTGCACTGGGTTCAACCTACTTTAGCAGAAGTTTCAAGGGGTAATAACGGCGTGGATGGGGTTATGTCTACTTCAGTGGCAGCTTTAGGGCTGGGGATAATAATGGTGTGACTGGGGTTATGATTACTTCAGTTGAAGCCTTCTTGTAGATTTGGAGACTGATTAGGATTCCTGTAAACTCTGAAAGGTTCGGATGCTGCCCCGTTATGTCTTGTGTGGAGCCTCTTGAGAATATGCAATTTACTTGGGGAGTTTGTATTCTTCACAAGATGAAATGAAATTTTTTTCATTACTTTGTTCTTTTGGTGCCAAGAATCATGTCCAATGGAGTATACACTCTTTAGTAGAGTTTTGGTGTTCTTTGTTAATTAGTGCTTGAGCCTGGTGCTCTTTTGTATATTGCACATGTAATAGATTCAGCTCTATCTTTGGTGCTTTTTATTATTATTTTTTTGTTAAGTACCTATGGTACTAGAAAAAAAAAGGGAGAACATGCAAATTTCATGAACTTGAAGTAACTAGCTAGCGATGATTGGAATTTGATATCATGCAAATGTAATGTGAAACAAGATAGTATCATTTATTTGTTCTTTTTTTAGCTGGGCCTTCTTTTTTCTTAGTATCCCTAAACTCAATAATTGCTTTTGTAAGCTCTATTTCATTGGTTTAACCTTTTGATGTGCAGTTTGAGGATGTTGGATATCATGGTACAAAAGCAGTCATCTACAATCTATGGATCAATGATGAGGGTACTATGGAGCTTGATTTTGAGTCAGATCCTGAGGTTATTTTGTTCATCTTTAATTTTTAAAAAAAAATTGTCTTTATTGAGTTGCCATGCAATTATCTGAATGAGGTTGCTTCTTGTGACACAATCGTTGCAGGATATTCTTATTGCTGGGGAGGCTAAGACTGCAGAGAAAGGTCACTTTCGGACGACAGCAACTGAACAGCATCTCGCTAACCGTCTTCGTTATTCTCTTCGTGTAAGTTCAAGATCTAGAATTTACACAATTCTTCATTATATTTTGTATACATATGTATACATAATCAACAATTCCTAATTTCGTTTCTCTCAATCAACAGGCATATTTGTCCGTGTTGTACTTGCGCATACCTGAAACTTTCTGCATACTACTACGGGGGCGAGTTGTTGAGTACCATAATATTGCCAATGATCTTAAGTTTCCAGAATTCATCTTGTATAGACCGCAAAGTGGTGGATCTGTGGAGGTTGTATTCAACTATTAGTTTTCCTATATATTCGATTCTGTCTTTATCTTCATTTGGAAACCTTTACTTTTTCTTTAATTTATAATTCCTCTACGACCTGTTGCATCTGCTTAATGTTAATTTGTTTTGGTGATGTTTTCTGACCGTATAAACTCTTTATATACGTTGCCAAAGCGGCACAGATACATTTAAAGGGGAGTCTTTTGATTTGTTGAACTCTGTATTGGTCATGCCTTGTGATCCCGACATGAATTGCACCTTTAAGTACCTTCAGAATTGAACATGAAAATTGACATGTGTAAAGATGCATGGAGAATATATTCTTGAAGCAAACTATACTATGCATTTGTACAATTAATAAAGGTGTTTGTTTTGGACAATAGTTTGTTGGTATTGATTTTTTAAATATCTCTTCATGCATTGAAAGTATTGGGGGTTGCCTATGTCCCTTTGCTTATGTCCTTCCAACTTGACAATTGTGTAGAAATCTTATAAAATGCTTGACGCTTTCCAAATATGTGAATTTTTTTATTTGGTGTCATTCTCTTTACTGATCTATATTTTAACTGTGCAGGGCACAGTTGTTACAACGATTGGGTTTCTAAAGGAAGCTCCACATGTGAATATTCATGGCTTTAATGTCTACCACAAGAATCGTTTAATTCTGGTGACGATTTCTCCTCAATTTTTTGACTTTGGAACTTTGACTTCGCATTATATTATTATCAATTGTTTATATCCTTCAGAAAATTTGTACCTTCGTTCCTCAGTTGACTTAGAACTGAAAATGGGGAAATGTAAATTGGATTGTTGATCAAATTCTCAACTACCTACTAATTTAATTCAGAAACTGGGGCACTCATTGTAATAAATGTCTAATTCCTATAAACACCGTTTTACAAATTATTTTACCTGGCTTCAATTCTAGATGCGCAATTCCTTAAAATAACCTCATTTGTTTTCTATTTTTCTTTACCTTCTGAGTACGAAGAACTTCTGTAGCAGACAGATTATAAGTTCTGAATTGTTGATGAGTCCTCCTTTCAAGTTTTTGCTTTAATGAAACTTCAGGCCTAAATTCGAGAGCTAGTTTGGTATATTATGATGGTTTGCTTCTTACATACGCACACATCCATATATGTCTGTGTGTATAAAATTTGCTTCACAACGTAATTATGCTGGTCTATCCTGCTGTCAGCCCCGTACCTCTACTTGTTCTTGTAAAGGGCTTGGACCAGGCATCAGTATGTTTTCTTTCCTCTGAAAGAAAATTTTCTTATTCAGAAAACTGTAGCTGTTATGGTTTGATGTTTTCCACCGAAAGCATTCTACATATTATGTGTTTGTTTCATTCTTCCTTTGCAGCCATTTTGGCATGTGGTAAGCTACTCCGACAGTAGAGGCAGGGGGGTTGTTGGTGAGAAGCATCTTGAGCGCTTGTCATTTTTGGATGATTTTGCTCCCAAATTGCATTGAGTAGGTGTTAAATGACTTGATAATTGCTTCAGGTGTTTTGGAAGCAAATTTTATTGAGCCTATACACAATAAACAAGATTTTGAGAAAACTCCTGTCTTTCAANTCCCTTTGCTTATGTCCTTCCAACTTGACAATTGTGTAGAAATCTTATAAAATGCTTGACGCTTTCCAAATATGTGAATTTTTTTATTTGGTGTCATTCTCTTTACTGATCTATATTTTAACTGTGCAGGGCACAGTTGTTACAACGATTGGGTTTCTAAAGGAAGCTCCACATGTGAATATTCATGGCTTTAATGTCTACCACAAGAATCGTTTAATTCTGGTGACGATTTCTCCTCAATTTTTTGACTTTGGAACTTTGACTTCGCATTATATTATTATCAATTGTTTATATCCTTCAGAAAATTTGTACCTTCGTTCCTCAGTTGACTTAGAACTGAAAATGGGGAAATGTAAATTGGATTGTTGATCAAATTCTCAACTACCTACTAATTTAATTCAGAAACTGGGGCACTCATTGTAATAAATGTCTAATTCCTATAAACACCGTTTTACAAATTATTTTACCTGGCTTCAATTCTAGATGCGCAATTCCTTAAAATAACCTCATTTGTTTTCTATTTTTCTTTACCTTCTGAGTACGAAGAACTTCTGTAGCAGACAGATTATAAGTTCTGAATTGTTGATGAGTCCTCCTTTCAAGTTTTTGCTTTAATGAAACTTCAGGCCTAAATTCGAGAGCTAGTTTGGTATATTATGATGGTTTGCTTCTTACATACGCACACATCCATATATGTCTGTGTGTATAAAATTTGCTTCACAACGTAATTATGCTGGTCTATCCTGCTGTCAGCCCCGTACCTCTACTTGTTCTTGTAAAGGGCTTGGACCAGGCATCAGTATGTTTTCTTTCCTCTGAAAGAAAATTTTCTTATTCAGAAAACTGTAGCTGTTATGGTTTGATGTTTTCCACCGAAAGCATTCTACATATTATGTGTTTGTTTCATTCTTCCTTTGCAGCCATTTTGGCATGTGGTAAGCTACTCCGACAGTAGAGGCAGGGGGGTTGTTGGTGAGAAGCATCTTGAGCGCTTGTCATTTTTGGATGATTTTGCTCCCAAATTGCATTGAGTAGGTGTTAAATGACTTGATAATTGCTTCAGGTGTTTTGGAAGCAAATTTTATTGAGCCTATACACAATAAACAAGATTTTGAGAAAACTCCTGTCTTTCAAAAGCTTGAAGTTCGCTTGAAGGAAATGACATGGGAATACTGGTAAGCTATTTGTTGAACTTTATTTTACATGGAGTTATGTTTTTGTTATGAATTTAGGAAATCCTGTGGTAGGTTTAAGTAGCTTCTACTTGTTTGCGAATTTTCTCCTAATATACGCACGTGCACCTTGAGGCCTTTCTAATGCGAGGAAAAGTTGCTATCTCGTCTACTCTTCGATAATTTTTTTTCCTGATACTTTGTTTTTTCTTATTTCCGTTCTTCATTTTTTGCGAGTGGGAGGGGGTGGGTGGCTACGAATATGTTGGTTACTAACTCTTTTCCTTTAAGGATGGAGAAAACAAACGGAATGAATTGTGTTTAATTGCATGCTCAAATGCATTGTATGGATTTTAGGCATTTGGTTTGTGCTTTATCCATAATGATGCATGGTTCTTAGCTGATAAGAATAGTTGATTTGTGGCAGGGATTATCATTGTGGGCTTATTGGATATCATCAGGTCAGGAAAAAACCTCAGGCACCAACTACTTCTCAGGTTTCATCTGATTTTGGCTCACATCATGGTACTCATCAACCAGTTGTCTTGGGTAGAAGCTTTTCTGCTGCTGGTAGTACAAAAGCAACACCAGCAGGTGGAGTCCAGCATCCAACCACTGCTTTGATGAGAATTCAAAATTCACCATTTAGGTTGTTAATCACTGACCCTTGTAATCTATATATGATGCCTTGTGCTTCACAGGAGCTCATTTGAAGAGGAAAAAATATGATGATTTAGCAGAACTTGATAAGGTGAAACGGATGGCTGGGTCCAATCAGGAAATACAGGTTTGTATTATGAACTCCTTTTTAATGTTTATTGGAAGTCAACCACTGTAGTGTCCTGCCATCTAACTTGAATGTTAATGAACTTGATCAGAATCATAATGCTTGGCTTAAGTGTAGTTCGATATAATGTCAGTTGATAAATTCTATAAATTGGACAGTGTTTGTGCACGTTGATAGCCATTGGATCCCCCACAATTTGTCTCTTCCATATATATAGAAACTTCTGTCATTCTGGTCTTTGTTCTATGCCTTGTATCCTTACAAATGAGACGCCTGAGTCTCACAAACTCTTTGGCATAAGGGTTGTATTCATGTCAGACACCTGAGACTCACATGTGCATCTCGACCAACTTTCATCCCTGGCACGTTCATTGGTTTACACAGCCTCATGTTGGCAAATTTATTTCTTCTGTTCCCCCCATGTGGTCAAAGTTATGTTTTTGCCACCTGTAATGATGAAGTCATATTTGAACAAAAAAGAATATACTGCTAAAACTTTCATGTGTTGCCTGTAGCCTGCTGCCATCACTGCAAATCACTTGGAAGATCAAGATGCCACTAACATGATGCAAGAAAATAAAAGGCTCCATGCGCTGTAAGCATATTCGAACTTCATTTTTATTTTTAAACCTTTGACCACAGTTTCCAGATATTTTGTCATATTTTTGAGAATAACACCGAAAAACAGCAATAGTTGTTACTATTCCTACCAACTAAAACAACAATAGTAACTGCAAAGAGCAATGCCACCCTCCATTGGCCACAGATCAACCGACTTCTGACTTAAAACAGGCTTAAGCTCTGGAAATTGCTGAATTGAGACCTTTTTAAAGATATATTATTCGATCAGCTCAAATATTTGTCGTTTTTCAGATGCCGGGAATATGAGAAGAGGAGTGAAGAACTTAATCTCAGGGTACCTCCTTTCTTTTTCTTGTGTCTTCTGTTTTTTGGAGGCATTGAGTCCTCTGCATCTTCAGAAAGAACACCCCAATTGGATTATGGTGTTTGTGTCCAATCCACGCCAACATGATAGAACAAATCTCTCAAAGAAACCAATCAAATATTAAACAAGGTCAGCCCATTTGGTCATTATGCGGTAAGTTTATCTAATGAATGTTTGTTCCCTTGTTTGCATTTGTTCCTTACAGGTAAGTCGGCTAAGGAGTGAACTAGGTGAGGCCCAGCTTGAGCATGGTCGGCTGTTGACTGAATTGCAATTGTTGGAGAAAGTCAAGGGTGAAAATGACGTAAATTTTTAGCATGTTTTTACTGTTTTGCTTCCAATTGTTCTTTTGTAAAAGAATGTGGTAATCAGAAGCTTTCAAACCTTTCGAAAAGTTTTAAGGAAAAAACAGCTAAAAATCATACGTTTTTCTGTTTCCTTTCCTTCTCTTCTTTGGGAAGAAAATGAATCTAATCGAAACCCAACAGATCAGTAACAGTTTTATCTCTTTCAATTTGTCATGGCCATAAGCAAATAAGAGGGTGTCATGTTGAGCAATATTATTTGTTCTTGCTATCATGTATTGATTCCCTTTTGTAGACTGGTTTTGGGGTTTTTTTTTTTTTTTTTTGGGTTTAACGGTTATACACTGTTTGATAGGACAGAAAGTTGGAATGATGAAAAGTTTTAGGGATAAATAAAATATCATGTTTGGTAAGAAAGGAAAATAAAAAAGATGGAAAAGTGGATGAATTAATTTTTTTTCTAATTCACTATAATCAATTCATCCAAAATCGAAAAGAAAGTGAATGAAAAGTTAATTATTTATGTTGAGATGTATCTTATTTGTCTATATATTTTTTGATATATTTATATATATAAATTTTAAAAATAAATAAATTTAAATTAAAAATTTTAAATTAAAAAAAATATTTTTTTTTATCTTAGTTAGGAGTGAAAATTTTTGACTCAACATGATAACACGATTTGAACTCGACACAAATGTTATAATAAGAATTTGATTATAACTCGACATGAACTTGAAAATGATTTGACACGCGAATAAGAAAAAATATAAAAGGTTCATATTCAGTTCAGCTTGTTAAATTCAAAATTGACATTATCAATTTGTTTATTTAAAAATAAATATTTTCTCTAAACTAACATGTTTAACTAGTATTATAGACATAAAATATTAATTATTTGTAAATATTTATTAAACAATGATATAATTATTATATAAAAAAGATATTTTTATTTATTATTATTATTATATTTATTTAAGTTAATTTTTAGTTTGTAGAAAAAATATTAACATGGATTCAATTAAGGGAAAATAAAATATTAGAGTTAAATTTTTTATTCAAAGTGTATGTGGGTCAACACGAATACAAACACGACACGAAAATAAACAGGTCAACTCGCAACTCGACACGACACAATTAGTTAAATGAGTTGAGTTAGGTTTGACTAATGTTCGACACAAACCCGTAATGATTTAACACAAATCTGATACGACACGACTCGATTGTCACCCCTAATTTTAGCCAACCAAAAAAATAAAATTTGTTATTTTTATTTTTCATCTATTCAACCAAACACAAAGGAAGGAATGCATATCATTCCTATTTTCTTTTATTGAAGGATAGAAAGTGTATCTCTCTTCTTTTTCATCTTTCTTACTTTTCATCCTTCCTACCAAACGGAGTATTAGAGTTGCTCTGACTAGTTTACATGCACCTCGACTAATTTTCTCATCAATTCAATCAAAGACAAATTATTTACGTTGAGGTTGAGATTTAGATATTCATTAGAGATAAATTTTTCATCACTCAAAAAATTGCCAAGATTTGAGCTGATATCTAAATATATAGTAGTTTTCTTCGTCGACACTTTGAATTATCCTTAGAATTTCGTAGACTGGATTTGTGCGATTACGATGGTTGACAGTTTGTTGTCCGTTTGTATTCATGTTCGTGTCGGACCGGACCCCGTGGCAAATTGGAGAGGGTTGCCAATATCAGGGAATATAAGTGTAATTTCAAAAAATACAAGAGGTGTCAGTAATTGTTAAAAATTAGAGGGTGCCATTGTAATTTACTTAAATCAACAAATTTAAAAAAATTAAATAAATAATTTATCTCATTTTTATACGTGAAATTTAATTTTTTAAATTAATTTATATTAAATGTTATGCATTTTTGTGTATAATATAACGCTCTTAAAACATTCTCATTCTAATTTTTTATTTTTGAATTATGTTATTTTTGAGTTTTCGCTCCGGCCCTCAACCCCACTGCTGCCCCCCGCTCTGTGTGATCTAGGTTATGATTCATTGGCCTTGTTTTCATACCATTCATCATGGCCTTGTAGTGTCCATAGGGTTCTGAAAACTCTTTCTTGATAGTTGATACATTTCATGCAGGCATGCATCTCGCTTACCACTTCAAACTGATACAACTTTGAATGTCTCAGATGAAGTGCTAATGGTGAACATGCATGAATTCTGATACTCCTCACTAAGATCGAAACCCCCCCCCCCCCCCCCCCCCCCCACAAAAAAAAAAAAAAAGAAACATAATAGAC